CTCTCAAAATATATGCATTCATTTTAGCGATTCTCATTTGCTACTTAAATCTACAACATTTTTAAAAACAAAATATTAGATAAAGTAAGCACAGAATCAGCTTTGCACTGCTGCGTGCGATCGTGTCAAAGATCAGACAAATATACAGGTGCATGTTGAAAAACGAATGTTTAGTGCTAGATTAAAATAATGTCAAAGGCGCCTTTTACCCCGGGGCGCCTTTAGCCCCCTTGTACCCATATATATATATATATATTTCTTTTTTCTTATATATATATATTGCACTGAAATTTCATAATTTTTGTTACCAATTTCAATATCAATAAAAAAGAAAAAAACCACGATTGGAGTCAGTTGGGACTAGAAACTGGTTACGATCATTCTTCAAAATATCTTCTTTTATGTTGAGGAGGAAAAGGAAATTCATAGAGGTTTAGAACAATTTGAGGGTAAGTATATGATGACAGTATCTTCAATTTTGGGTGAATATCCTTTTAAGATCTCATAATATATGAGATCATATAGGATCTCATATAGCCTAACACATGCTTTATCTTTAACTATTAACATTCATTTAAGACACAAATAACTGTGTTTACGAGGATACTCGCAAAGACGGGCATTTTGACACACAACTATGTGTATTTGACCGTTTAAGCACAAGGAGCGAATGTTTAGTCAGTAATACGAGCAGGTGTATCAGGTAGAAACCGTTTTAACGCACGCATTTACCAGAATGAATTCTGCCCTGCAGCGTAATGTTCATGAACAGTATAAACCATTTGTTTTAAAACCTGCTTAAAGCTTACATCATGACGCGCTTCAATCAACGATTGATTTATTTCTGCCGGATTATCTCCCAACCCTTAAATGAATATAGTTTGTTCAAACACAAAAACAATATAAATCCAGTTAATAATCAAACTAACCTAAAATCTGTGTGGACGATGACACTGTTTTTATCTGCTCCGTGTGCCCAGTTCACTTGCTGTTCCAGCAACTTCCACTCCATCATCAGCTTTAGTAAAATAACCTGATAGCTGGGGAATTTACTAAGTCATGTTTTTTATGTTGTTTGTATTTTAAGTTTTTAATTTTTGAGCCCCTCTCTCTTTTAGAATCGCTGACAATTTTACTTATTGAATGTTGTTCTTTGCGCGCCTATTTCCAGATTACTCCAGAACAAAGTGAAGAGAGGTGAATGCAGACATACTGGGCAGCAATCACCTGATATATACGTGCGCATATAGTTCAAAAGTCAAATATAGAATAAATGCATTTGATTGGTAAACCAAATTCAAAGTTTACGTTTCAATGTCAAATGGTAATGCATGGAATTTACGGGAAAGCTCAACTAAATAACAGCGCTAATAAGTGGGGGGCGTGGTGGCTTTGGCGATCGGCGCTCCAGTCAATCTACTCCACAGCCAATGACGGGCCCCCTCCTTGCTCGGGCCCCAGGGCTTCAGCCCCGCCTAGCCCAATGGTTAAAACGGCCCTGTGTACGACAGTCAAGACTCATTAAAAACACATATATGCAAGGGGGGGGGTACCCTATATAAGCGGCGCTGAGCGGCATTTCATCAGAATCTGTTGACTGAATAAGAGAGCTTATGAAAGACTTGAGCCCAAGTAATACGGCATGACCATAACCAAGGTTATGTCAGTAACCAGAGACGTTCCCTTTCGAGATAGACTCTCGATGTTGCGGACAGCTCAGAGAGGGAGGGTGGGTCTACTGAACTGCTGTATGTGCGTGCACACAACGGCGAGATATAAAGCGGTGAGACGCAGCACTTCAAAACTATCAGAAAACAGCTGTCATAGACAATATCACAGCAATTGCAGCCGCCTCGCGCCCCATAGAAATCTAATCACTAAATCATTACTCCCCACTGACAACCTATCAATGTCAGAATGAATGCTGATATGACAGCTACATACACTTGAGCGTGGAGGGCATACGGCCGTCATCAGAACACTTGTAGAAAAGACAAAACTACTAAAAACGGGCAGTTGACAGGGTCTTGGCCTTTCGAAGTGCAACAATTTTCCGAGGGTCTCTACCTATGAGCGTAGAGATGCCTAGTAAACAGTGCGCTCGCCTCTGAATGTCTTCTGCACATGCTGTGACAGTGAGTTTGACGTCGGCAAACTGCGTTGAGTGGCCAGACGCGCAAATTCCATAAGTCTGTGCTGGATGCCAGACTTAAGTCGCTCGCTTGAGAGAGGGGATCTCTCCTCAATAAAATTAGCCATTCAGGTCCCGAGAACGAGGGCTGCGTGTGGTTGTGGGTTCGAGTCTCTGTTCCGGCAGGAATTGTCGGTGGGGGGAGTGAATAACCAGTGCTCTCTTCCACCCTCAATACCACAACTGAGGTGAGACCCTTGAGCAAGACACCGAATCCCCAACCGCCGCAGCAATATGGCTGCCCACTGCTCCGGGTGTGTGTTCACTACGGTGTGTGTGTGTTCACTACTGTGTGTGTGCACTTGGATGGGTTAAATGCAGAGCACAAATTCCGAGCATGGGTCACCATACTTGGCAACATGTTTCACTTTCACTTTCACACATCTGTATGAAAGACAACGGCACAGCCGGTGCTTGTCATAGAAGGGTGACACACTGCGGCAGCGCCGGCAAATATAGTGGCCAGTGCAAGCAACACTACATATCGGCACAGCCGCTTTTTTAGCATCGCAGTGCGGGGCAGTTGGGTAATCCTCCTAAATGATATCTCAATCCGTTCTCTGGAGGAACGCATGGACATTCATGAAGCACTTAGTGATCATACTTGTTTAGTGTGGTTCAGTACAAATATAATCAAGTGTTTAATAATGTTTGATGTGATCTAAGAAGTGTGATGTAAGAATTTTCTATTTAATGTTTTCTTCCTTTTTTTCTTGTTACTACTTTCACTCTACTCCAGGTGTGTCAAACTCAATTAATCATGTAGTTTTCAAATAAGCCTAAATGACTTGATCAGGTGTTTTTAATTAGGGTTGAATCTAAACTCTGCAGGGCTCCGGCCCTCCAGGAATTGAGTTTGACACCCCTGCTCTACGCCATATTGTTGCTCAAGGGAGTGTTGAATCTGCCGAGGTTTACAAGCATCAGTGATACTACTACCTCAGAGGCACCTTCTGTCATTTTCTTTTAAGTTTGATTGTTTTCTTTAGTATTTTTGGACTACAAAAACAGTGGAAAGACTATATTTGAATTTAGCCAAAGTGCTAAGTTTTGTTGTTCATGTTTGACTTTTTGTTGATTGTTGAAAATAATAATGTGAATCTGAGATTGCATTTAAACTTGAACCAAAGTACTAACTTTTGTTTGATTCCTTATTGATTGTTGAAAATGTAACTCTGAAACTGAAGTTTCATTTGAACTTAAACCCAAAGTGCAAAGTTTTTCTCTGTTTGTTTGATTCTTTATTATTGTTTAAATTACATTTCCTTCAGTTTACATTACAACTCTGAAAATGTGAAACTGAACTTTCTTTGTGTGGGAATCTGATTCGAATAATTTAGTAACTGTTGGCTTAAAGAGCTATTCTGGGTGAAAACAGTGGTATTTTAGAAGATTGAGCTTGTCTGACGCCCGAACTAATTCGATCAAATTGTTAAAAAAAAATTTTTTTATAAATTCCCTTGAATCTACTGATTACATTTTCTTTGGGCCCGCCACCTCTACAATTGCATATTACCTCTAGTTTTATCTACTGACTTTGCTTTTCCTTTGACTTTTCCTTTTTTTTTTTCCCCCGGGGCTTTTAAACCAGTGTCTCTTGCTCATCTTTTCAGTGGCGATTTGTTCCTCCACTGAAGAAAGACCGCCACCTCCTCAGCCTCTGGATACGCAGAGCAGTGGACCCATGCCACACACAGGTAACCAATTGTGCTCTTGTTGTAATTTTCTGTTCCCGGTCAGCTGCCAAACAATAAACAAAGTGTCAATTGTCTATTATGTTGATGCAAATATCTCTGCCTCACCCACTTGTTCTCCTTCCATTTCCGATTCTTCCTTCTATCACACTCCTTAACCATCCAGCTTTCTCATTCTTGTCCTTATACATTTTCACCCTTTCTTCTTTTCTCTCTAGAGGAGATATGTGCGGAGCTGGTTAGCGCAATAGAGGCAGGTGATGTTCGGGCGGCATCTGTCTGTGCATCGTCTTTAGCCAAACAGAAAGCTGCCCTGAGCATTCAGCCATCTAAACGAAATTACACAGACACTGAAATTAGGTAAATTTCATGATTACAGACACTCACCCACTCAGTTTAACAATGTGTCCTAACCAGACAGAAAGCAGCAAGTGATCAAAAAAAATGCATGATCCAAACCTGTATGACTTTATTTCTTCTGTGGAACACAAAAGAAGATACTGTACTGCAGAATGGACAAACTGTCTTCTTTTATGTTCCACAGAAGAAAGTGAATTATAATTTATGCCAAGTCAACACACATTTTGACAATTCTGATCTCAGCTAATGCATTGATTTATCATGCAGCCTGGCTGTGGTAGTAGAAGATGCATCCTCTTCCTGTTGTGTCACAGTGAAAGTCATCCCTCACTCCACAATTGGTGCTCTCAAACAGCAGGTAGGTGCAGATTAACATTAACCAAATAAACATTATTTCTTGTCATTCTTTCAGTGCCATGCGATTCTGACAAATACCTTAGTTATCATTTAGCTTTGTTAATGGCACAGTTTTTGCTATTTAAGGTCTTCACAGACTATGGTTTTCATCCGCGCGTGCAACGCTGGGTCATTGGCCAGTCTTTGTGCTCTGATCATCGCTCTCTGGCTTCTTACGGAGTTCAGCAAGATGGCGACACTGCATTCCTTTATCTAATTTCTGCCCGTCAGGCCCGTCTCAGTAGCGGGCTTTACCAACAAGATCAGGAAAGTGCTTTGCTCATGCCGGCTTTGGTGTCAACGACTAATCAGCCCCACCAAGAAGCAGTTACCAATGGGCCAGCACTGAACACAGCCTCAAGACCATACAGCACCCTGCCTACAAGACTTCATAACAGCCATAATACCCTGAGTGTGTATTCCCAGTCTATAATAAGGCCACCAGTCAAAGTCATAACATGCGTTTACACATAGACCTCAAACAGTTCATATTTAAAAGTGATGCCTTCTGCTTCCAGTTTTTAAATTGCTAAATCTCAATATTTCTGAAAAATTATTAGAAATGACTAAACTGAACACTTTATTCTCAATTATCCTTTGTTTAAAGTATTGCACAATTAGCAACTGTGTCTCATAACTTGCTTATTACAACTATGACCTCTTGACCTCTCAGGTGACAGTGCGGGAGGTACAGAGAGGTTAGGTTTGGGTGAAATTCGTGATCTCATCAACCTTGAGCTGCCGCATTTGAATGAAGCCCTGGCGCCCAACAGAACAAGCACACAGGTACAGCTTAGTACAAGTTTTTCTTTAACATTAAGGGCAGACATTTTATACGATATTGAGCCTTTGATAATATTTGAAATACATAAACAGAAAATGTTTCACAAAAGCAACAAGTATGCATATACATAGATATACACATATAATGAGATTATGGTGCTTATTTAAATACTTGTTTTTGTGGGTATGTAGCTGGGATGGGCCTGCCCAACCTGTACATATATTAATAAACCGACACGTCCCGGCTGTGAAATGTGTAGCGCAGACAGACCTAAAGGCTACACCGTTCCCGGCAACTACAGACCAGATGCTCTGGAGCTAAGACGCATTCAACAGGAAAAAAAAGCAATAAGGCAGTACCAACAGGTGAGGCTCATGAAATTCAATTGAGAAAGTATAAGCACATTTTGTACAATAATTCTGCCTGCTACCACTGGAATATTCCACTTTGTTGTGATGCTTGTGGAAATCATTGGGAACAGATGAGACTGGCATGTTGCTTTTGCTGTTGGCTTATACATCTCATGCACACCTACCATTTTTACATCTTCTTTCTACTCATTCTTACGTTTGTATTCATATAAATTGAATGATAGAATTTTAGCGATTTTGAGAATATTAGTATTGGCTGTTAAACGGTATTGTCTGTTTCAAAATTTAATGATAGCCTTTTTTCCAAATGTAGTAGTGAATTTTAATAAAGTTGTGGTAACTTTAGTAGTGACAGAACTTTTCTTTCATATTGTGACGTATGTCTGAGTGTAACAGATAATTGAAAAAGGAAAAATGATGCAGATGTTATTTTTACTGGAAGATCTAGTTATGATATGTAGATTAAAAATTATGTGGTTAAAAAAAGAAAAACGCATACAAATCATTCACAATGAGAGCTATAACATGCATTTAGAAAATAGACTGAATTTTCATTTCATGATGACTTTATAATATTAAATATAAGCGTTCATTTTAATTTCATTTTTTTATGCATCTCATTTGTTACCATTTAAAATGTTTTTTTTGGTACATCAGTATTCTATTAGCCATTGGTGACTTATCATTAGAAATCATCAATCATTAAAAAACCCATAACAGCTGACCACTATTAAAGAGCTACTTTCACTCATCTCTAAGGTTTTTTTTGGGGGGGTAGGATAAAGCCTGAGTTCTGATTGACTCCTCAGTCTGAATCTCTTCTCTTTTGTCTCTATTTTTTTTTTTAAGGAGAAAGGGAGAAGAGAGGAGCTGAGGGGCAACAACTCACTACTGCACAACCTCGACCAGGACTACTGATTCATGCGTGCACACACACTCTCAGTGCATAGTCTCTAACAAACCAGGTGCACTCGTACTCCAAATTCAACCACAGTACAGCTGGTATACTGCACAACTTGTATATGCCTGAACAGTTCACTGTTAATTAATTTGATTCATGCCAACCTCATCTATTCAAATGCAACTTTTTTTTAGACCACTTACAAAAGCTACACATTTAGACCCATTTCAATAACACCTTTATAATTGAACACTGCAATAGTCGTACAGGAAGTAATTTTTATAATATTAATGGCAAAGACGTCTATGATACCATTACTTCACTTGGTCTAATAAAAAGCTTTGTTACATTGTCTTGGTTTAAAACTTTATTCAGGTACAGACTTTTTTAATGTGCAGATGCCTCAACCAGATGACATATAATACTGTATATCTTTGTAAGTAGATGTAGGAAATGACTCCTACTGCACAGCTTTTGCAGGAATGTAGAGCATCCATTTACGTAACCGGTTTTATACAAGTTCAGTCTGATCTTGTCTGACAGTATCTTGTAAAATAGTTTCAAATTCTCATATATTCAAGATTTTAGTCTTGGATTTTTTGGAAATGACTGTTTCAGTTCAGAGATTATAGATCCCTGAAACTATAAAAATTTCCCAGAATCTTTTTTTAAGTGCAGAAGGACTTACTGAGTTTTGTGATGGATCATCCATCAATGCACTTTTTGTTTACTAAACTAAACACCAACTTTTACCTTATCCTACATCATTGCAGACTGCAGCTGTTCACACAAAAGCAACATTAATTTTGCATTGATGTTGAAACTGTAAGATGAAATGAAGAGGCAAAAATAGTTCATGTAAATGGTGTCTGACATGTAAAGCCTGTGTCATAGGACCGTGCAACTATTTTACATTTTGCCAAATTGGTGGCTAATTTGTTTTCATGCACATTTCCCACTGACGGTTGGGTTTAGGGGTGGACCTTCATGCTTGCTTTGAATCACGTCATACAAATTCATACAAAATCTCCACCTTATTAAATAGTTGTTTTCTCATGAGATCTGTCTGGACAGTTTTGCAAAGACCTTTGACTGTGTTGGGCCAAACTCATAAATACATGCATGCTAAGAAAACATGTTTTATACATGTTTTCTGCTACAGAATTTTGCACTCGAGCATAAAGACTTAACTTGGTGAAAATGTTGTAGACAGTGTTTTTTGCTCATACTGCTCATAATATTTTAGTTGACGACAATATGCTGAAAGAGCATTTAGTAATTACCACAGTGCCCATGAGCAATGCATTTAACCCAGAGTTACTCTATCAAGACTGGCAGTTAGTGCATTATGGATAAAACGCATCTTCTAAACAATGAATAGGCCTAACCAGTGTGAAAGGGAAAGAAACAGGAAGACATGTCTTGGTCAGTTCAGTTAGTAATGTATGTAATGTAGCATAACTTGTTTGTCTGTATGACTGGGCTTCATTCTTTCATGTTAGCTCGTGTGTAAAATAGCCTTGAATTTAAAAAAGACAAATGGCTATGCAAATTAACTATGTGGCAAGCTCAAATAAAGGTTTTTTAATAGGTACATAACATTCACACCTGGGTGTCTTGACTTTTTTTTTTTTATGTATGTGTACATACACTGAATATAAGTACAGGTGCATCTCAATAAATTAGAATGTCATGGAAAAGTTCATTTATTTCAGTAATTCAACTCTAATTGTGAAACTCGTGCATTAAATAAATTCAATGCACACAGACTGAAGTAGTACCCATAACAGCTGACCACTATTAAAGAGCTACTTTCACTCATCTCTAAGGTTTTTTTTGGGGGGGTAGGATAAAGCCTGAGTTCTGATTGACTCCTCAGTCTGAATCTCTTCTCTTTTGTCTCTATTTTTTTTTTTAAGGAGAAAGGGAGAAGAGAGGAGCTGAGGGGCAACAACTCACTACTGCACAACCTCGACCAGGACTACCCCATAACAGCTGACCACTATTAAAGAGCTACTTTCACTCATCTCTAAGGTTTTTTTTTTTGGGGGTAGGATAAAGCCTGAGTTCTGATTGACTCCTCAGTCTGAATCTCTTCTCTTTTGTCTCTATTTTTTTTTTAAGGAGAAAGGGAGAAGAGAGGAGCTGAGGGGCAACAACTCACTACTGCACAACCTCGACCAGGACTACTGATTCATGCGTGCACACACACTCTCAGTGCATAGTCTCTAACAAACCAGGCGCACTCGTACTCCAAATTCAACCACAGTACAGCTGGTATACTGCACAACTTGTATATGCCTGAACAGTTCACTGTTAATTAATTTGATTCATGCCAACCTCATCTATTCAAATGCAACTTTTTTTTAGACCACTTACAAAAGTTTAAGTCTTTGGTTCTTTTAATTGTGATGATTTTGGCTCACATTTAACAATCTCGCGTTTAATTGAGGCAGTAATTAAAGGTCATATTTTTTTCATTTAGTACTGCTCTTCAGAAGCTACATAAATACATGTTTCCCAGAAGACAAAATAAGTCTTTTGAAAATAAGTCCCCCCCCCCCCCCCCCCCCCCTCCCCTTCCCGACTAC